GGCATTTAATTGCAATTCTCAAAACCCCCTCCCTCACCCTCCATCACACGTACTGCCACCGTCATCTTCTTGCCTGGCGAATCAGCTGTAAACGCGCACAAGGAAGGCTTTGCTAATTTGTGTTGTAATAGCTGAAATATTAAGTGCCATAAGGATTTTATTTTGGGTATTTATATATCTTAGCACGGTGAGGAAATCGAGTGACTTTTATTTTGATTATGTCTCTTAGATATTATGTTTGGGGCAATTTTTTATACGGTCTGGTCAAGCATGGCGACTGCGGCTCGTCTTCTATCTAGGAAGACAGTCAATCATCAGTGACTAATATCCTCTGCATTCAAGTCACTTAGTGAATGAAGTTTTTTGCCCTTCCAAACTGTAGCGAGGCTGCTAGTCTTAGTGATCCTTCCAGACGCTGACCTTCCGGTCTTACTTGCAATCTAGACTTATGTTGGGATGAACCTTGTATCCTCAGTATGGGTTAAATGAGAACCATTCAGGGTGGAATTCTCGGCCCAATACATCTTGCTAGAGTAATGGTGAATGATGTTAGCTAATGGAGCGCTATGGTAGCAGCTCAGCACTGTCAACCCTTCCGGGTGACTTGATGCTCACTCAGGCACCATCGCTCAAGCATGATTAATTGAAGCGGTGATGTCTGTCACCCTGATTGGCAACAAATAGAGAACTTGGTGATCCCTCAAAATGTAAGTGCTCTAAAATGATGTTAGCTCGATTAAGAAACAAAGTTCATTAAGCTAAGGGACATTTGAGGTAAGAGGAGGGAGAGGTGTATGATATAGTGAGTTAGTGTTTATGATTGTCACACTGGTGACTCATATAACAATAAGAGATATTAAATGAAATAACTTTCTGAAATATCACAGTTATGAGTCGTACTGATTATGTTTGGGAGAAAAAGTAATCTGCCTTGTATTATTATGATGATACAAAATGTGACTCATGGTGTTCCTCCTAGTTTAGATGAGTGATATGCAACAGGAGGATGAAGGACAGTTGTCTGGACTGCTAGATGATGGAGGAAACAATGGAACTGTCCCTGGGGAACTAGTGTTGAGTGAGGAGCTACAAAGACTGGAGAGCTCAGCTCATACACTACACACAAGGAAGTGTCCGTCAGTAAAGGATGTGAATTCAGTAGTAGTAGTTTCACCCAGGACCCAAGTGGACCATACTACATGTAATTATCAAGGATGTAGAGCCACTTGGATTGCCAAGTTAGATCCTCATTTGGCTTGCATAATTCATAGCAGCTGTGTCTCAGACAACCTGTTTTCACCATTGGATTGTACAGTTTGTTATGATCAAATTTTTTTAATTAATCAAGCTGCAGGAGATAAGAAGGAATTATTGAAGATCCAAATTAAAAATAGGTGGACTAAGGCCTTGAAGAGTAAATTTGTAAATGTAAAACACTGGAAAGATCCCAAGTTGGCAGAAAGTTTAGAATTATGGGTGACAGGTAAGAGACTTAATTCCCAGTTAGACCAACCTGCTTCTGCTAAGAAAAGTAGGTTATTGGATATTCAAGATAATGAGGCAGTAGGAAGGTTGCAAGAAACTACCTAGTCAGCCCAATTTTAGTGGATTTCAGGATCAGGATGAGGGAGTTGGCTCTAATCATAGTGTTCAGTCACTGGAGCAGGGAGAACCTGTTGAGACTGACTTCATCCTGTCCCCATTTTGGCAACCTCTTCCACCTGGGGCAAAAGTGTTGGTTACTATGAGTGGAAACAGGCTGCTGTCGACTCCCACTAAGCTGATGGAGAACATTGAGTGTAAGGATGATCCCAACAGGCCTTGGGTAACATTGGTAAGATCTAAGTCTTCTTTGTTTTCTACCACATCTGAGTCTGTGGATTCCTTATTCAGGTATTTTATGAAAATGTTTCTAAACTTCCTGATCTCTCAGCACTTACAAAGAGACAGGAAGGCAAGGCAACTGTGGGTCTTCATTCATTGTTTTTAGAAGCTGACACTACAATTTCTTGGCCTGATATTTGTCCAAAAATTATCTCTGAAATAGATGAAGTCTGGGCTAACATATTGAAACACTTAACATTCACTCCCTCAGATAGGAATGCTCACAAGTTTAGTTTTTTGAAGTTCCAATGCAATGACAAAAACAGTTCCTTATATAAACTTTCCCAGTATTTGTCAGTTCCAAAATATGCTGACATAAGCTTTTGAAATAAATTTGAAAAACCAGTTGCTTCTGCACTGTTGCTTGAAGAGTTCAAATTTAGGAAGTTGGCAGAGGATATTTGGTCCTCTTAATTGCACCATATTGGATCCTACATCCATGGTGCCTGGATCTGTTGGACTGGTGCCCGCATCCACTAAATTGCAACAAGGATGTCTAGACCAGGTACTGCACCCTCAGTTTGAGATATCCTTGGCACTTCATGCTTGGAGTTTCTTAAAAGATGTTTAAATAGATTGTTGGGTAAATCCAATATAGTTAACCAAGTGATAGCAGGTCATAGGCCCCAAACTTCTATGCAATATGAGAAAGCTTGGAACTTTTTAAATAATTTATCAGATTAGCGACTCCAATCACATTGTCGGAAAAAGTGGTGTTAGAATTTTTAGATTTTCTGTTCAGAGTTAAAGGCCTTCAAGGATCTACAATTGCATCATATAAATCAGCATTGGTTGACCCTCTGGTGTGGGGTTTTAATATTACTTTGAACCCAAGAATTTATCAAATGCTCAGATCGTCCTTTTTCATTCAGAGACCCCCTCGGCCTAAGAGAATCCCACCTTGGTCTCTAGATAAAGTTACTAAATTTCTTATGGGGCCTAATTATAATATAAATCGGAACCAGGACAGATTGCTCCAGAAGGCAGCCTTCCTTCTAGCAATTGCAACAGGTATGAGAATCAGTGAACTGGTTTCAATTTCCAATAATCCACCATTTTTGTTATTTTCTGAGGAAGATGTCACCCTTTTTCCTGCGGAGATCCTAAGAAAAAATGCAAGGGAGGATTTTCAAGTTCAACCTACTAGGATAAAATGGCTAATGGATGAGACAAGGGTTCCACATATATTGTGCCCAGTTACGTAGGAATCTTCAGGAATGGCTCACCAGATTCCCTAATCGAGGCCCCTATGTATTCTCATCACAGGATGGTAAGAAATTGTCTCCTAGTCAAATGACAAAATATTTATCTCAGTTGGTGAATCAAGCAGACCCTGGCAAGATATTTTGTTCGAGCAGAAACATTTTAGAAAGGCACCGTAGGCAAGTTCTTTGAATCTCAACCACCATTTACATAAGGTTGAAGATCTCAGCCTAGCTAAAGCACACACACCATTATAACAAGGTTAGGTACACATAGGGCTTATCTGCGTGGATTTACACCGCGTGGAACTCGGTGGGTGGTAGCCGAGCGATGTTCTAGCCCCTATCAATCAGTATATAAATATGGGCTAGGACATATATTCATTATATACATTCTATCACCCAGACTATTGAGCATAAAGCTACATAAGCATTTGTTCTGTCACACCTCCTAGGGTGAACAGCACACATAAACATTTGTAGTTTCACACAGATTCAGGTTACAACCCATAAATATATGTCTCCAGGCCTCCGTGAGAGTAGGCCTGTGAAGTGTAGCCTCTTATCTCTGTGTTGACGTATAGATTACATACCCCCTTACAAGCAGAGAGAGAGGTTCGCCTAGTTCACAGTTTCACACAGTTCACCAGTTCACAGCCAGACACCGTACCAAAGAGACGTGTGTGAGCATAGCTCCCAAGGCTGTATCTCTCTCTAATTTTATCAGCTAATTACAAGCTAATAGCTAATGCTCAGTAGTCTGTCAACAAACAATTCTGTAACTACCAGAGCATCCAATATAACTAGAAAATCACCACGTGTGTTTACATTAAACCAAGGAATAACAAATGAAGATAATAGAACCTGTATACACTTGTGTATACTTACAAGCTAAGATAATTACAAGTGTAACCCAGGTGGGCTTGGACGACTCAACTCAACGACTCAAAACTACGACTGTATCAAAGGTGACACGCCGTGAGACTACCTATTATCTCACCCAGCTTCATCAAAGGTACCAGCGACTACTCTACACTTGTTCAGGCAAGTGTTAACAAGTGAGATCGTTTGATATCAAACCCCAGCCCAAACATGTACCTCATCCTTCACTACAGTTATAAGTAAACTAACAAGATAACTACTGTACCTCAATGAGGTACAGTAGTTATCTTGTTGGTTTACTTATAACTGTAGTGAAGGCTGAGGTACAGTAGTTATCTTGTTAGTTTACTTATAACTGTAGTGAAGGATGAGGTACAGTAGTTATCTTGTTAGTTTACTTATAACTGTAGTGAAGGATGAGGTACTACCTCATCCTTCACTACAGTTATAAGTAAACTTACAAGATAAATAGTAATATCTCCATTAAGTGGAATCCCTCAAAACCAGAACTCTCCAATACCTCGAATTGAAATTTTCTCGGAAAACATTCCCCAAGCTGGAACTTCCGGAAAATTCCGGCTTTGGGAATGATTTTCCGAGAGGCACATTTTCCGAAAAATTCCACAAAAATTTTCCCAATACCCAGAACATTCCGGGATGGGGGAGCTTTTCCGGGTTTGAGAGGTAAAAATCAGGCGCATTTTTCGGAAATTCCTGGGAAGGGAGATATTTTTCAAGGTTCGAGAGATGTAATGGGCAAATTCTGGAACTTCCGAGAACATTTTCCATCACCCGGAAATTCTGGGGACGAGGGATTTTTTTCCGGCTTTGAGAGAGTCGTCTCATTACCCGGAAATCTCTCATTCTGCACCAATTGTTCCAGCTAACAGGGATATCACTGTTCCTCATTCCTCACTACAGTTATAAATAAATGGTCTTATGACTACCCTGTAATGTGACACTGTATTCTAAATTAAAACATAGTCTCAACACTGTCCCAGAAATCATTATTAAAGTTATCAAAGGTCCTACTGGTCTGTGGGGAGGTCTGTTGCAAAGGAGAGGTGCATCTTGACGAGTGTGTGGTACTGAGTGGGATCCTCATAACGTAGGTGCCACAACTGCTTCTGTATGCTGTCCCCATCCACCTTCTGTTGCTGTGATGTATTCATCCTGTAAGTCAACAATGGATTACAACACCTTCAAACTTTTCACCTTCAAAGTTCAACAATATGATCCATAATACAGTAGTTTAATACAAAGGGAGGCATTTCCTTATAACCCTACATGTTCAACGTTTCAAAGGCCACTCTGATGTCTGCGGTTAAATTTTTACAGTAATACCAGGACAAATTGTTTAAAAGAGAAATAACAAATATGTACCAATAAGAAGATGAATGAGTGTTCAACAAGGCAATACTGTACACTATACAGGTAATTTTCTTTACACTTGCTCACTGTAGTACGAGGGGTGGGGTCTTACGCCCGCAGTTTTAACCACCCTCTTCTGTTGACGGGGGTTGTTGGGTTTACCAGTGTTTCTTTAAATGTAAGTCACGAAGGACACCGCACTACAGCTCTTGACGGGGAGGTGTGGCAGTAAACTTAACTTATAATATTGGAATTAGTAGAACCTTAATAAATCGGACTAATTGGGACAGACCCCAGTCCAAAAAAACGTGAAAGTCCAAGAAAACACGAATATATGGGCGGGGGGAGGGGGGGGTGGAGATAACACTACTGTACTAATTTGAACTGTTTAAAGAAAATCAGTTGTTATGTTATTACTGCACTTTACCTATTTTTTAAAACCCTCATTTATCCCCATCAAAGCAAACACTCTACTTAAACAGTTCCTGTCATTTAAGAGTTAACCCCCTATATACATGAAGCCTCTGTGCTGAATAAATCATGTGGCATTACCCAAATAAAACATTGAAAGTGGCATCCAGTAGTGAAGACGTTAAACACACTGACAGATAAACCTAAACCAGAATTTCCACTTTGGCACCACAGTATGTACTGCACTGTACTGACAAACAGGTACAGTAAGTATATACAGTAAGTACCCGATATGAGAACCTGTATACAGTACAGTACAGCTGTAGTTCAGAACCATATTATGGAGCCCGCAAGGGTTTATTTGAAAATTGTGAATTTGGGATTCATTGTGACAGTGCAACTAATGAAAATATGTAATAATTTGAAAAACTTTATAGTTTGAAAGAGGAACTGAGTTTTTGTCCCGAGTCTGTCGCGCACAGGACGTGTGTATTTACCCCAGACCGGGCCCGGATAGAGAGCCAGTCTTCTCACTGTGGTAACTACACACGTCCTGTCCAAGAGTAAATGTATAAGTATGTAACTGGTAACAGTTAGATGTGTAAAACTGCAAATAACTGGGGGTCTTATTAAAAAATTTGACTATGTTCCAAATTTTTTAAACTTGCATTTAAGATACAATTTTTTGTGCCAACCTTAAATGTGAAACTCATGTTTTGCGGAAATGTTTTATTTGTGACTTACAGGTCTATGAATCACAAGTGCTGGTCAATCATGCTTAACATAAGCTAGTAAAAATTTTGCCCTTTGTGATGCTGGCGCCGCATAAACTCGCACAGGTACCCATCCAATATTTGGCTATGAGTACGGCTTGTTTGTTAGATTAGGTTAGGTTAGGTTAGGTTAGGCCCAAGACAGACACTGTTCCTGCAAACAAATGCCAATAAAATGTTAAATAATTATTTCTACATAAAATGAGTTGCATACATGTACTTACATTCAACATAAAAAACTGTACATCCAATAACTGTACAGTACAGTATATATGAGCTTTATTTTCTTGAATGTAGATCCAATGCTATGGCGACCTCCACTATATTTACAATGATAAATGTGACCCCCAGAGCCTACATCGTCCCCACTCCCATACACAGTTAGTCCATGTAAACAACTTCATGAGGTGAATTTTTTTTACACAGGTACAGCACATTAATGAAAAAATATAATACATACTTTTAAATGACCATAAAGTAGCCATAGTAACTTATAAGTGACCATAAAGTAGCCATAGTAACTTATAAGTGACCATAAAGTAGCAATAGTAACTTATAAGTGACCATAAAGTAGCCATAGTAACTTATAAGTGACCATAAAGTAGCCATAGTAACTTATAAGTGACCATAAAGTAGCCATAGTAACTTATAAGTGACCATAAAGTAGCCATAGTAACTTATAAGTGACCATAAAGTAGCCACAGTAACTTATAAGTGACCATAAAGTAATAGTAACTTATAAGTGACCATAAAGTAGCCACAGTAACTTATAAGTGACCATAAAGTAGCCACAGTAACTTATAAGTGACCATAAAGTAGCACAGTAACTTATAAAAGTGACATAAAAATTAATACAGTGACTTATAAGTGAATATAAAATTAATACAGTGACATAAATTGAGCCATAAAAGTAATACAGTGACATGAATATAAGTATTATAGTATATAAGTGACCATAAAGTAGCCACAGTAACTTATAAGTGACCATAAAGTAGCCATAGTAACTTATAAGTGACCATAAAGTAATAGTAACTTATAAGTGACCATAAAGTAGCCACAGTAACTTATAAGTGACCATAAAGTAGCCACAGTAACTTATAAGTGACCATAAAGTAGCCACAGTAACTTATAAGTGACCATAAAGTAGCAATAGTAACTTATAAGTGACCATAAAAGTACAGTAACTTATATAAGTGACCATAGCCACAATGTATAAGTGACCATAAAAGTAATACAGTAACTTATAAGTGATATAAAGAAACAGTAACTTATAAGTGACCATAAAAGTATACAATGGCACTAGATGACCATAAAAGTAGCCAGTAACTTATAAATTGAATATAAAGTAGCCACAGTAACTTATGAAATTGACCATAAAATAACCATAATTAATATAAGTGACCATAAAGTAGCCACAGTAACTTATAAGTGACCATAAAGAAATATACAGTAACTTATAGTGACCATAAAAGTAATACAGTAACTTATAAGTGACCATAAAGTAACCACAGTAACTTATAAGTGACCATAAAGTAGCCACAGTAACATAAGTGACCATAAAGTAACCACAGTAACTTATAAGTGACCATAAAGTAATAGTAACTTATAAGTGACCATAAAACCACAGTATAAGTGACCATAAAGTATAAGTAACTTATAAGTGACCATAAAGTAACCCACAGTAACTTATAAGTGACCATAAAGTAGCCACAGTAACTTATAAGTGACCATAAAGTAGCCACAGTAACTTATAAGTGACCATAAAGTAGCAATAGTAACTTATAAGTGACCATAAAGTAGCCATAGTAACTTATAAGTGACCATAAAGTAATAGTAACTTATAAGTGACCATAAAGTAGCCACAGTAACTTATAAGTGACCATAAAGTAGCCATAGTAACTTATAAGTGACCATAAAGTAGCCATAGTAACTTATAAGTGACCATAAAGTAATAGTAACTTATAAGTGACCATAAAGTAGCCACAGTAACTTATAAGTGACCATAAAGTAGCCACAGTAACTTATAAGTGACCATAAAGTAATAGTAACTTATAAGTGACCATAAAGTAGCCATAGTAACTTCATTAAGCATTACCCTTGAGTCATGAAGTCGCTGAGTGAGATATTAGACAAGCACGGTGGTGAGAGACCTGGCAGTACAATAGTGCTGCCAACCTCAAGTTTACCAATACTAAGTCACTGTGTTGATTGTTGTTGTTATTCAGCAAATTATCCTGAAATAAAAAATAAAATTATATAAATTATTTATGAACAGCACACCAAAAGCATTAATGACCTAACTGTTAAGGTCTTGTTGAGTACAATTAGGAACATGAGTGGAGCTGGGGAGGACCTCACTCTACACTGACTGGTGTACCCCGAGTACTGTACTGTACTGGGAGATAATGAACCAACATCAGTACAAACATCTGAGGGAATAAAAAAAATTACCAAGAGTAAGAAAGAAACCTGGTGACAATATCAAAGAACTCTTGAATGAAGCTCTAATCATGAAAAGTATTGTAAAATTATATTGAAAAAAGAGAGAAAAAAAAAGAGAGATTTACAGAAGAAAACAAAAAAAAATAAAAAATGATGACGCATGTGAAGACAAAGCCTTCATTAACATAGCCTCACTTAGCCATAAAAGACTGCAACAGTGTGAAGCATCGGCAGCCTAGAATGTAACAAATGACAAAACCAGAAAACAAGTCAAAGGAAACTTAAGGGAAAATTGTGGTGAAAAGCTGGTAGAGCAGTGTTATGTTTTGCTGTACTGTACTTGCCTGCTGTGTGGTAGATATTAGTAGTGGTGCTGTACAGTATTGTGTGGCACAAGTTGGTGTGGTGGTACCTCTTACACCTTAACAGATAATATGGAGACCCTAAAATGGAAAAGGACCATTATGATGCAGTGGTGAATAATGATGGAAAATATACAATTGTGAGTACAGTACAGTACAGTACAGTACTGTATGTTATAATAAAACCAAGACAAACCCAACAAACCCAAATAAAACATATAACAACATTGGACCAACACTACTGTACAGGTATACCCTGAAAACCGACGCCCCGCAACCGATGACATGTAGGGGAAATACCCCACAAATTTCGTTGATACCCTGAGATCCAACGATCAGGAGAGCAGCAGCAGAGCTCTTCTGAATTTGGTGGGTAGTGGCGTGGTGTGAATTCATGTTTACACTACTATGTGTCTCTGACTTTGTGTGTTACTCAGTCATACCTAAACGCCCCAGTGATAGTTCATCTTGTAGCTTGATGTGATGTCATGTGATAAGGTGTAATAAGGCATAATAAGGGTGGTGATGGACTAGCAAATAGTGATAGAGACTTGAACTTGCCATCCTAGACCATCTCTATCATCCTCAACACAGGTCCATAAGTCTCAATTTATGCTTTACATTTCTTATTTAAGGTTTATTATGCTTGCTTTATATGTCTGCTTTATTTTCTTGCTTGACAATGTGCACGAAAAAGCTATATCAAGGGTAGATGGGACTTTTTGGAGGGTGGCTGGTTCCTAACCCCCTGAATTTGTTATGTTTTTATGGAATTAATTGCTTCAATATATGTTGACTCACTAACCAGTGACTTTTGTCCCTACATGCATGGTTATCAGGGTACATCTGTACTGTACAGTCAGATTCAGGCCAGTTAACTGATAACAAGGTGGCAATGAGCAATATTCTGATTACAGGTATATATTTTTCGGTGGCAATGAGCAATATTCTGATTACAGGTATATATTTTTCATCAGTTTTCACATGATACCTGAGGTAGCTGCTATCTCTGGAGATACAGTACATTGAAGAAAATGGATCAAGCAAGATACAGTATAGTCTGGATTTACGTGGATTTTGTTTACACGTTTGGTCATTTACGCGGCACCTTGCCAGAATGAAAATTTTAAGTTAAGCAGTTCAATCCATCATTTACGCGGGAAGCGGCGCCATGAGGGTGCGCATTAGGTCGCTCTTACGTTATCGCTGACATCATATGACGTATCGGACTGTGATTGGGCCAGCATCTTTACCTACCTCCGCCACTAACTGTGATTGGTATCATGTAACATGACGTGCCCTGCCACCAGAGGGAAGAAGTCGCTGACCTAGCCGGGCCAGTCTCATTGTTCTCAGTTCTCCGCGTATACTGTTCTCTCTTGTGCCCGCTATTTCCCCTCACAATGGCTTCCGCTGGACCCTCACCACCCCCGAGAAACCTTGAACTACCTGGACCAAGCCATGGTTATGTGAAGGAAGTCATCGAGTTGGGGGAGAAAATCAAGCTCATCCTTGACAAAGACACTGTCAAGCATCGGCATGAACTGTCTAATAACTTTCTGTCGAAAATTATGGAGCCGTGTGTCCCACCACAACCACAGCCAGCCCAAGTCAGTGATAGTGACAGTGAGGATATGGACTTTGAGGGGTTTGTCAGGGAGGCCCTGCAAACCTCTGTGAATAGTGATAGTGATTCACCGGAGGGCCACTAATCTCCCATCTGCCTCGTAACCAGCCGCCATCCATGTGTGCCGACCCATCTCTTCTACTAACGTAAGTGTTAAACACCTTTAGATTTGTAGTTTTGCATTTAGATATTATGTGTGTGTCAATACCATCATAAAATTATGATGTAATTTTTACTGCAAGGTACGTATTGTGCCAGAAAAAGTGGAGTTTGGGAGTTGGCCCAGTCTCTATTTCAATTAATCCCATATGTTCTGTTATTTTGTTTACATGTTTCTCGTTTTACTCCTCGACTTACGACCTACTCGACTTATGACAACCCGGACACACAACCGCCGTAGTCGTATAAAATATTTTTCAAATTACAGTAAGTATTTTCTAGTACTGAAACGTTTCGGCCCCATACGACAATGTGGGCTGGGTCGCCTCGTGGTGTACAGCATCAACCCCGTAGCCTGCTCAGTTGGTGTTTGGCAGTCGTTGTTATTGGTGATCGCGCTGTGTACTGACAAAATTTTCGTTTCTGATTGCCTTTAAAATGGCTGGCAAGCGTAAAAGTGAGAGTTCTCGTGGTGCTGAGAAGAAAAGGAGACAGTCAAATACTTTTGAGATGAAAATGAAAATAAAAATGCAATATGAAAATGGAAAAACGGTGGCAACAATTTCACGTGACCTAGGCTTCTCTCACTCGACGATATCAACAATTTTGAAGGACAAGGCAGAGGCATTTGCTACTATTAATAAGGGGATGCAAACGTTTGAAGAAATGGATCAAAATGTTCAATGTTTTGCAAAAGTTGACAGACTGATCTAAGATGAACTTGCTTGCTACAGGGAGATTTACAATGAAAAGAAAATGCAAACTGTGCAGTCTAAATTGGACATATATTTTAAGGAGTCCCCCACTGCTGTCTCCTCATGCCCCACCACTGCTGCCTCTTCACTCCCTAAAGATGATCCAATACCTTCAACAAGCAAGTATGTTAGCCTGTCTGAAGAAAGCAAAATTGATGACCCACCCAGCCCTGTCTCCTCATCTGATTCATCCAATTTATGTAGTCTCCATGTTTAATTAAAAATTATTGAGGCCCCATGTGCATTCAGCTGACTACATTAAAGGTAAGTGCAAAGTAACACTTTATTAATTTTTCATTATTGATTACTTTTCCTGTACCATATTTCATTTTAGAATTTCTATGTACTATTTTCGCATTTTCGACTTCGACCAATTCGACTTACGACCTGGTCGTCAGTCCGGAGCCCCGTCGAGGAGAGACTGTATATAAATCAGGGGTCCAGTGTGACCCCAAGTCATATACAGGGGGCAGTAAGACAGCCTCACTAAG